AAAAAAAAAAAAACCCACCAAATGCTAGTAATGGCACAATAGGGTTTTACTTACTTTTTATCTGTTTGTAAATAAACTTAAAAATCTGGTATACTTATTTTCATTGGCAGAGTTTAGCACTCCTTTCTTGATACATTTAATGTGTTGTTATTTTTAAGAATTAAAAACCTCAACAACCCTATTATGACAAGCTTAATAATGAACCTTCATAGAAAATCAAAGCCAATTCAGACAATCTGTGTTGGCCTGATTTTAAAAATAACTATTAGACTGGGAGATTAAATGTATACATTTTCCACTAATACTTCGTATGTACTCAGTTGTCAGAAGGAAAAACAGACCATCTCTCTAGCAGATAAAATCAAAGTACTTGTAATAAAAGAATAAGTGAATCGAGTACTATCCCCAAATCTTGAAAGACAGCACATATTTCTGCAATAAATAGATGTGAAAATTTTTTGCAGGGGAATGGGTGACTAGTTGAATAGGGAAAAGATATTTAATGCATAATATAGAATAACCAGGCCAATTACACTTTCTAATAAAGTTGTAAGAAAATACGCATTTGTTTCTTGATGCTTCTTGTGGTTACTTAATATAGTACATTGTTCTTAGGGAAAGCTCTAAGATGCGACTTTACAGAGAATCTAGTTCTGTTTGTTTTCATGGAGCACAAATAATTTAATTGATTTGTTAACGAAATGATCAAATTAACTAGAAATATTACTTTGTATATGGTTTAGAAAGTAGAAGTCTTATTCCATAGTTAGTCTGCAACTAACTATGCAACCATGAGAAAGTCAGTAGGTCTTAGTTGCCAGTGACTTAGTTGTCTACTCCAGATAATATTAAAATATCATTCCTATCTAGAGTACAGAACTGTTCTAGAGATCAAGTAAGATAGCCCACCTTGTCAGCACTTAAATTCCTGAGCGAATTAATGAATGGGATAATACTTTAAAAATCATTAAGCCCTAAACAAGTATGAAGTGTTATTTGTATCAACACAGCTGTCGAATCTGTATTCCTGGAGGTTTAAGGAAAAAGAGAATTCCACTGGGGGGATGCTTGCAGTGTATTCCTGCCCTATTCTGGGACCCTCGCATACATAAGAAGGGAATGGGGTGTGCAAAATTTCATTTTGTGCAAGACCACGGACTCCCTGAAATTACATAAGGATTTTTTTAATATAAAAGAAAGTGTTCTACTCACCTGCTGTTAATATTAAGAGCAAGAAATACAGAAATTTCTTCAAGAAATATAAAACTGGAGGCAGGAAAAATAGTGAAAAGAGTATGGAACTCTGAGAGCCAAGAGACTTGGGCTCTGGTTCCTGTTCTGCCAGTAATTAACTGCAAAGCTGCAACATCTGTCAAGTGAGAGGGGTATATTCGAATACCTCTAGTCTCTTCTAGGTCAAAACACCATAGCACCAAATGAAATATAACAGATAATCTAAAATATGCTTTAGTTTTTCTGGGTTATGGACAATTAAGGGAAAGGGGGAAACAGAAGAGAATGAGACCGGCAGAAAAGACGACGGTGAGAGGTAAAGTAAAAACGCAGAGATACCAAAGGACAGACACACATCAACTCTACCCCTAACATTACCCCCACCAAAAAAAAAGAGTCGTTTGAATAGAGACATAGAAAAAGACATACACTAACAAAAAACATTCAGATACAGAAATATATATGCATATGAAGACTTTGGTGGAGTATAATGCTCTTATTTTGTTCATCTTGAAACTTTTAAACACAAAACTACCAAAAAGTGTGTAATGTAATGTACTTTTACATGAAAAGGCATAAATGGAGCCAGTTCGAGGCATGTGCCTCATGAGCTAGACATAATCAAGCTGAAGGTTTGAAGACTACCAACATATGCCATATGTTAATCGTATTTTGGGGCAAAATCTCACTTGGTAATTTGAGATCTCACTTCCCTCATTTCCAACAGAAAGAGCCAAAGATGAACTTTCCTAAAATAGAAATGTATCCCAAAAACTTTTTGTGAATCAAGGCTTAGCATTATTTTGCCCCCAGATAGGCAGGATTTAAATATTTTAACTTAATAATTACCAATTATGTAAAGTGTAAATCCCACATTGCCATTAAAAGTCCATATTGGGGATTTCCTGTTACTATTCTCTGTACTGTGTAGTAGAGGGCACTGGACAATGTATCTCCAGTACTCTCCTTTGATTCCCTCCCAGATGAAGCCCATCTAATCTTCTGGCTTTTCTGAGCTTCAAGCCTCAATAGGACTGTATAGACTAGGGAGATAATTTGTACTTTGCTACTAATCAGCTCAGAGTAGAGGGGTCTCTACGAAGAGGCAGACCAGCTGTTGCAGGGTGGTGAGTGAATCCCATTTACTCAGCCCAAACAACCCAAAATGGGCAACACAAGGGTTCCTGATGTTTATTCCCATCTCTATTACCAATCTAATAAGAACTCCGCAAAATTGTATGTACTTCCACATCTGTTAAGAGAAAATTTATTCAGACCCATCTTTGTAGGAGTCATAGGAAGCTTTTCTTTCTTGTAGACAATAAGAGCTGGGAAGGTAAAAAAGCACAAGATTTTGCTAATTTTGTTTGGCTTTTAGCTAAGCTCTTGAATCTTTCTGTACTTTGGTTTCCATCTATGAAATGGAAAAAAAAAATCCCACCTCGTTCCAGCAAATTTGATATTGGAGAAATAAATGGTGCAGCAGACAGGAAAGCACTTACAGCTCTCTGGACGTTGGAGGTTAGATCAATTCAGTCCAAATGACTGAAACATTAAACAAGGATAATAACACTAACAAGCACTTGAATGTACAGGGTTTAACAGGTTATAGGATGTTTTAAATATATTATTTCATTGACCCTTACACTAAGGTGTAAAATAGGGAGACCATTTTTAAAATTTCATTTGAAGGATGAAGAAATTGAGGCTCAGAGAAGGGAACTGACTTGCCCAAAACCAGTTAGCAGCAGGACATGTCTCCTGACAGGAAGTCTAGTGTTCATTCTAGCCTACCAACCTATATATGTAATTATTGCCTATTCTCCTTTCATTCCTTTCTTCTTCCAAGTGAAGCATGCTTGGTAGAAGGTCTCTAATAAACAATCAAAGCTTCCTAGTTCTCATGTATAGTTCTACTGACTGTCATAAAGAGCTTAAACCTGTCTTGACATTCTCCTTTGGCAAAAGCTAATAACTCTATCTAGGTCTGTTGAACCTCTGAATCATCCAAGCCCTAAACCTTCATTTCAAATACCATTGTTTTTAAATTTCGCTATTTCTACTTATCACCATATCACGTCTGAGCCACAGATCAGTTCCCCGGGTCTTTCTTTATAAAATATGCCTTCTTTATCAACGGTTTCTATTCATCTTTAGTACTTTTATGGTGTTCTTCACTGTGGTATCTATTGTTAAAACCACATCAGACATAACAGGTATTCTTAAGGTGATTACTTTCCAATAAGAATCTGCTAAGCCTTTGAACCCAGAAAGAATGTGAGAGCAGGCCAGGGTAATTTCAAACAGCAAATAAAAGTTTGTTCTCTTTCATTCCTATTGCTCATCTTCCTTTATCCATGTTATTTATGTTGTTTTCCTCCAATTCCTAAAGAATAAACCAAAATAAGGGGTATTTTTTCCTTTGCCCTCTTTCAGAGTGTCCTCTTTGGGCCAGAAATCTCAGCACTTAGAATGGTGGGAGATTATCGTGCCTGTTGTGTTTCCTTTTATGAATAATTCCACTGAATACCTAACCACCCTAAGCCATGCTGGGCCATAGGACCAGGGCCCCCTTCTCCTCTAAAAGTCAGAAGAAGAGACCCAGAGGGAGGAAGAATTGGAGAGTACTTTCTAAATAAAGTTAATTCTGAGTAATAGCTCACTAGGCACCGGCTACCTTGCCTTGATCTCCAGAATTTGAGCAATGTACTCAGAAACTGTCTGTACAGAATATGACTTCAGCCTCAGAGAGTGGAAGAAGTACAAAGAGGAGGAGGAGTCATATGCTATTCCATAGCAAGAATGATTCTAGCCCCCAGACTAAAGGCTATATAGACTAATTCTGGGCAGCGGAGCTGACAAAATTTTATTCCATGCACGTACACTTAATACATATTATGTGCTCTATGCTGGGGCTGAGGGACAAATTTAGTCACATGATCTCATTTAATCCTCACAACAACTCAAATAGACATTGTTTATCCCCATCTACAGATAAGAAAACTGAGCAGAAAGGGTAACTGATTTACATCAAAGTCAGAGAGACACCAAGTAGTGATGCCCCAACTGAAACTCAACTCCAAATGGTACTTCTGGCCTTCACAGCACACACACACACACAAGACAGGTGATGGATAGAAATGTATATTTGGGCTATCTTATACAGTTAAAAGAATGCTATCACATTTCCTTACTCATTAGCTCAAAAAATAAAGGGTAACTGATTTACATCAAAGTCAGAGAGACACCAAGTAGTGATGCCCCAACTGAAACTCAACTCCAAATGGTACTTCTGGCCTTCACAGCACACACACACACACAAGACAGGTGATGGATAGAAATGTATATTTGGGCTATCTTATACAGTTAAAAGAATGCTATCACATTTCCTTACTCATTAGCTCAAAAAATTATGCTGAAGGGAAAAAAAAAAAAAAAAAAGAAAGCACCTGAGATGAGAGGAAGGCAAGGATATAGAGAGATCCTCCAGATACCTTTCAGGGACACTGTTACACCTATAGAACTGTCCAGGTTGTTAAAAAGTTGCATTAATGTTCTGGGTTGTGTTTAATTTTTTTAGGATTTCAAGAGCATACTCAAGTCGTTCATGCATTTCCATCAAGCACAAACAAAGATCAAGGAAGATTAAACTCTACTAATTACTCTCTGGAAACCTCAGAGCAAAGCCACTTCCCAAGAACTGATGGTCAAACTATCCACCCATAATACAAGTAAGCTTAGAAAAGCTTTCTTACAACCCTGACAAAATGGAACCTTCCTTAAACCATCCAGCATCTAATAAAACCAATGCAAATAGCAACAACTCTGCATTTTTCTACTTTGAGTCCTGTCGACCCTCTCCTCTAGCCTTGCTCCCATTACTCATAGCCTATACTGTAATCTTAATTGTGGGCCTTTTCGGAAACCTCTCTCTCATCATTATCATCTTCAAGAAACACAGAGAAACTCAGAATGTCACCAACATACTGATTGCCAATCTCTCTCTCTCTGACATCTTGGTATGTGTCATGTGCATCCCTTTTACTGTCATCTACACTCTGATGGACCACTGGATATTTGGAGATATCATGTGCAAACTCACTTCCTATGTGCAGAGTGTCTTCATTTCTGTATCCATATTCTCACTTGTGTTAATTGCTGTTGAAAGATATCAGCTGATTGTGAATCCCCGTGGCTGGAAGCCCAATGTGTCTCATGCCTACTGGGGTATCACAACAATTTGGCTATTTTCCTTTTTGATGTCGATTCCTTTCTTCCTGTCCTACCACCTCACTGATGAGCCCTTCCACAATCTCTCTCTCCCCACTGACTTCTACACCCACCGGTTAGCCTGTGTAGAGAACTGGCCCTCCAAAATGAACCAGCTCCTCTTTACTACCTCCATGTTTATGCTCCAGTATTGTGTCCCTCTGGGTTTCATCCTCATCTGCTACCTGAAGATTGTTATCTGCCTCCACAGGAGAAATGGAAAGGTGGACAGGAAAAGAGAAAGTAAAAGCCGGTTCAGTGAGAACAAGAGGATTAACACTATGTTGATCTCCATTGTAGTGACTTTTGGAGCCTGCTGGTTGCCCTTGAATATCTTCAATGTCATCTTTGACTGGTATCACGAGGTGCTGATGAGCTGCCACCATGACCTGGTATTTGTAGTCTGCCACTTGATTGCTATGGTTTCTACATGTATAAACCCTCTCTTTTATGGCTTTCTCAACAAAAATTTCCAGAAGGACCTGGTGGTGCTTATTCATCACTGCTGGTGCTTTACACCTCGGGAAAGATATGAAAATATTGCCATCTCCACTATGCACACAGATGAATCCAAGGGATCATTAAGACTGGCTCCTACGTCAACAGGTATATAAAAATTGTTGATACTTAATACTAAAGCCCTTCTTGAATGGGAGATAGAGAGGTAATGGCTGCGGATAGGGCAAGATGCATAAAGGAGAAGCCAGAACCATAAAAAGAGCAAATTTATGCTACCAGTTTTGCTGAAGGACAGACCTGTGTGTGTCATATTGCTCACATACTCATACACACACACACCACTCTTTTTTTTAATTTGGAGAATAACTCAAACAACCTAGTTGCCATTGTTTATGGCAAAGAATGACAGTGAGAAAGCAAGTGAAGCAAGCAGTATTGACGGCTGGGGAACAAAGTTGAATATATTCTATATTCAACAGAATATCCATAAAAGTTATTACTAATGATACACCTAGTAAAAATAATGCTATACCACCTCCTTAGTGTTGAAGCAATTTCACTTGCAGATATGGAAATTGTAACTTTCGACCATGTAATTATTCAATTAATTAACAAAGTCAGATAGCCCCCATCATAATTTCTTAATTAGCTAAGAAAGTAAGTTTGTATTAGAAGTTAAAGGAATAGTTTTATCTTAATATTTAAACTAAGTATTATAATTACTTCCAATGCTTGAATCAGATTCTCTAGTTTTCGATAACAGCACATTTTCTCCACTAACAATGCTATTAGCACCACTAGAACTAGCCACAAAATCTTTTACACTCTAATTATACTAGAAATCACATTAACTAACTTATTAATGGCCAATGTAGATAGAGCTTTCATTGCAAGATGGCTTTTTATCCTTAATTCTTTATGTATATTAAATAGAGGTAATTATGATTCTATCATTGGGTCTGAGGGGCATCATTAGTAGCACTTTTATATTTAGCTCCAGATTTTTTAGAACCACTCTTAAATCTTATGACTTAAACATTTAAAAAATATCCTTCATCCCCAGAGTCACTTATATGGGAGAATCAGCTAGATTGTTTTCAAAAAGAATACTAAGCTACTGTTCAAATAGCCATTAGCTTGTGACTTCTACTAAATCATAATCAGCTTAATCTCTTCCAATAAATACCCCTTATACTATTAAATTTGAGCTGCAGCTTAATAGTATGTTTAAAATGTAACTGTATTTTCTTCTACCTTTTGAATAAAAGTAACATTTTTCTGAATATCTGTGATTTTTCTATTGTGTTTTTTCCTTATGCAGTAGACTTCATATTTACCCCTCCTCAAAGATCTCTTTCTCTCTCTCCACCCGCTCTCTTTCTGTCCCCCTCCTTCTTCCCTCCCTCTCTCTACCTTTTCTTTCTCTTTGGGATTTCTATTCTTTCTGTTATATCATTTTGGGTAAAATGAACAACAAAAGCACTGCAATAAAATGCAGTGCAATAAAAAGCACCAAAATGCAATAAAATGTAATAGTCTCACAATATTAGCCACAAATAAAAATTCTTATCTAAAAACTAGTTTCAAATGGTGTCAGCTTAGAATCCTAAAGGTACAGGACTGTAGCCCCTTAACCCAGAAAGAAGTCAACTCTCCATAACCTTTCTATCTCTTCTGACAGATGGAGACTAGTCTTATAATTAAGACCAATGCAATATTTTACTCACTTGATAAAGATATATTGATTCTAGTTTCTGTTACTGAAACGATTCTGACCAAGCCACTGAAAGCAGGGAAAGACGTCTGATACCACTCACTATCCTCACCCCCACATATACACCCAGGCTCCTCTAACCCTGGTCCCCACCCTGAACATTCAGAAGAGATCTCCAATCTATGATTAAATATTATGGTGTGCTTTCTGGCACCATAATAAGAGCTATTTCCTTCTTCTGTAAAACTGTTTTATCGTTTCATCTAAACTTTCCTTGAGCTTTAGTGAAACAAAAGTCACTAATGATATAACTATATCAATAATTGTCTCTTTATGTTTATTTTTACCTCAAAAAGTAGTGAATTAAATGTACTTTTTAAGGAATGTCTTTACCCTTAAGAGGTTTACATACTGACAGGTAGCAGAGCACAGGTTTATAATTAGTTACTTAAGAAAGTATAATGCAAATATTAACCAGGTGTTGTGGGGACCCACTGACAGTAAAACTCATTTTTGAGAGGAAACAAGAAAAGATTTCAAGAAAGTCAATCTTATTTCCTGTTTTTGCAATATCTGCGGGTGGTCCACATCAATATGATCTACTGTTAAGCCATTTGCTGAATGAAATAAGGCCTTGTTTTCTCACTTGCCTCTCCCCAATTGCCAGATGGGCTTGTATTTTCCCTTTTAGGAATCTGAGATTAGAACTTCATGATGTAGCCCTAGAATCACAGTTTCCTCTAGTCAGTGTTTCAAAAACCTGTTCCTCGATCCCCCAACCTCAAATCATTTTGGATTGAGAGAAATGTCTCTTATCTTTAAGTTTCCAGAAAAGAGGACTATTAGTGGGATAAGTAAATATTTATGCCCTCAAAAAATTAGTACAGGTTAGGGGGAGGGGAGGCAACCTGCCCCGTGGGTTAAAAAAAAAAAAATTAGTACCTTAACTATTCTGAAGGTGTCTGTCCAGTGACCAGAGCTGAATGAGAAAATACTAAAAGCATCCTTGCAACAAGTCCCTTAAGTTTTTTCTCTGCTTACTTCTAAAGATCCTCCAGGAGTAAAGCCCAGACAATTTCTAACAGAATCAACAACATAATAAATGATTCAAAATAAAGGATACCCAAATGTGGTTTAAATGTGTATGGTTCACATTTTTCTTCAATGAAAAATGTGATGTTCGGAAAAAGATATAATAAGTTGACAAAGTAACATGCATCAGGCTTCAACTAAAAGAAGCTGCTCCCTACCCTGCGCTGAGCATGAACAGGATAGTTCATCAGCCCAATGAAAGGAGTCAATCTCTCTTCCTGTAAGCTTTGTTTTTTGTAGAATAATAAATCAAGAAAAATATATTAAGTTCTTACTGTGTACTTAGCACTGTATTCAGTATAGAAAAAGTTACTTTAAAGAGTTAATGATGTAGTTGAGACTTTAAAGAATTTATAATATATTTGTATGTCAACTATAATTTAAAAAATAAATGTATATTTTAAAAAATTTTTAAAGAATTTACAAGACACCAAAGAGATAATTCAATGTCTCGGTTTTGAAAGCTTTCCTTCTGGCTAGTTTGAAAACTGTCTAAAAGAAAGTTGAGAGTAACTGAAGGCAGAGTTAACATCGAAGGAGGACTCATCTTTATACCCGTTAAGTGAGAATACACTGGGGAAAAGAAAAGGATATATACTAGATGAGGGAGAGGGGAGTATTTCAAGATTGATATACCAATTTCTTTCCTCCCTGAAGTCACCTATGCAATACATATGCTCAGGCAATAAACTGGAGAAAGATGACGAATATTTCCAGTGGGCTAAGGAAGGCAAAGCAGGTCTCTTCCCATATTTCTGTGTCTACATCAAACTCCTTGTTGAAGCTGGGATAGTGTTTCCCCTGCAGCGGAAGTAAAAGGATGTATCATGCTAGGGACAGGAACACATGCATTGACTATTTCCTGCTATTTTCTATTTTAGGTATATAAATCTGTTCTTCTAGACTGTGAACTTTCAGAGACCATGACCTACATCTTTATTCCTTCTATATCAGCCCCTCACTGCCTCCTTAGACTATTTAAGACAAGATTAGGCAAGAAAAAAGCATTTAACACATAGATTTTAAAAAATCATTTCTTAAAAAACAAGCTAGGCAGTAATTACTTACTGAATGTCTGAATATTTTCAAACCTGTTTTATTAATTACCCAATGAAAGTATAAAGACACAATCCTAATTACACAAAGATTATAGTAATGTCAATAAGCTGCCAAATCTTGGGTCCTTTGGGTCTCAGTATAAATGTTTCTTAACCACCTCTGCTCTCCCAAGGTTGTTAGGACTCCCTAGTCACTGCTATCATAGTACCTCGTTTATACCTATCACATAAAACCATGTATGCCTGCTCCACAAGACATAAGCTCTTTGAAGGCAGGAACTGGGTCTTATTCACTGTAGTGGCTCCAGTGCCAAGTATGGCATCTGGCACAAAGTCGGGGCTCAATTATTATCTGCAAACTGTAGATGTAGAATAAATCTGGGGATAACAAACCTTTGCTTGGAAGTGGCATATGGACCTGAAGAGTAAATGGGGCCTGAAATCTCAGGACTTAGTACCTGAAGAAGCAGAACACCAAATTCCATTTGAAATCTAAAAGCCAGTGCTTAGGAAATCTACAGTAGCAGGAAGACAAATATAAAACACACCTTGGTTCCAGGGAAGGCTTAATGGCAAAGTGTACTTTTATGGTTCAAATGTTATTTGCCAATAACAGCTGTGCTAATAAGAGTCAGCTAAATGGGCCAGTCCTGGGAATGGAAGAAAATGCTCTTTTAACTTCCAATTAACTAAATTGACAGGTTTTTTGGAGCAAATAGCTTTTAGAAATAAAAAGGCCAGTCTTCCAGGGCAACCAGCCTCCAGGAGAGTGGGCCCCTTTATGACTCTATTAGAGGAAAAACCAGACTCTATAAAAAGGCCAAGGCATGGAAGAACTTTGTCTTTTTCAGTGAACCAAATTCTTCTCCACTAAGGGAGAAGAATCCTTCTCCACTAAGGGAGAACCTAAAAGCAAAAGTTGTTGAGCTATTGATTTGAAGGTAGTTTTCCTCATCCTGGGATCCTAAAAGATCTGCTTTTTTGACAGCAGCAGAAGTCCCTGACTCTTAGACACTGTTACTATACTGAGGTCTCCTGATAATTCAAGTTTTACACCTTTCTATTTCCTGCAATTTGAAAACAAAGACATATGTGTGTGTATGTACACACATTTGTGCATAGCACCTAAAAAAATGTCTGAAAGAAAATATTCCAGTGTTAACAGTGTTTATCCCAGGTGATTAGACTTTTGGGTGACCTATCTCTATTTCTTTCCTCTTTGTTCTATCTTGCTTCTAACTTCTCTTCCTCTTTCTTTTTGCCTTTTTGCTTATGTATATTTTCTAAATAT